TAAATTGGCAGTTTGTTTACAGGACTTGTTGTAGGAAAGCATTGACATGAATGTCTTGTGTTTTGTTGTGAGTACAGTCATCAGCACCCACCTGTCTGTCCATTCAGCTTATGGACTATGGGCATGATAAGCCTGAAATCACTGCTGTATCTATGGACCCTAATTTTGCAGCTTATCTGCAAAACAACTTCCTCTCAGTTGTTCCTGCTGAAAAGGAGAAGGCTGGAATTTTTTTGAAGAGGTAAACATAGAGTTGCGTAATGTTGTATAACTGTATTTTATCAAGTAGCCATGTCATTCATGCATGCTGGTTGCAGGAATAAGCGGAAATGTTCTCCTGGTGATGAATTTTCTGCTGCATGCCAAGCATTGGAAGGGCTCAAAGTTATTAATGGTCTGGAGTGTAAGATAGCTTGCAATTCATCAAAGGTATGTATACTGAGATGCCGTCTCCATACACAGTTTCAAGATGTCTGGTATCTGCTGCCTTTTTAGTCAGTTTTTATGAATTTTCTAAGGACTTTCTTGGAAATTTGTTGGTAGGTTTCCTACGTTTTAGATACAGAAGATTTTTTATTCCGTAATAAAAAGAGGAAAATAACGCAGCAAAACAGTTTATCCGACGACCAGGCAAAGCTTTCAAATGGTTGTTCAAGTAGACTACAAAGAATACAGCGGTTTCACAGGATGTTTTATGGCGCTCCTACATGATGACTTGCCAATCCCAAACAAGACATGGTACAGACTGATTTCACGAAGTGAATCATAACATGTTTTAATATCGTATATGATTTAGATTCTAATGTTACATTAAACATGCCAATGCTTTAGCAAGAATAGAATGTTTCGATCTTGTTTGAGTAGTTTTGGATGATAGAGAGATGACATGTTTGATTCTAGTGTTTCAGATATCCTTGTTCTTCAGTTGACTTCTGTGACATTATATAGGCGGAGGCAAGCAGACGGAAAAAAGGGCCACAGGAAAGAGAGGTCTCTGGTATTATCTCCATGTATTTCTCAAATCTGTCTTACCAAAGGAATAAAAGAATGTGGGGGGGAAAAGAATATGGCTCGGGGAGGTACGTTATATTTTGTTGGGGATTTTGAAGCCACCACAATCGTGTACATAGAGGTGGTGGTGTCGTGATGTAGAATCCTGATATGTTTAATTCTATTCATCCAATATTTTTTTAATATCTATTCAATTGGAAATGTCTTCGTTTTTATGTTGTGCTGGATTTGGAATTGTTTTGGTTTTCTCTTAAATATCTATTCAATACTTCACTGCCTGCACATGCCCAGTCTGTTCTGTTCTCTTCAAAAGACAAACTGTTCTGTTGGGTGGTTTAGCTTTAGTATTTTGTAATAAACATTGATTAGATTATTTGTTTTAACTGTTCGTAGATGTAATAATTACAGCTAAAATTATGATCATTCATTTATATCATTTTTTTTTTTGAACTATGTAATTGATCATAATATACTACATAATGTAATTTGAAAATTAATTATATTGGATTGAAATTAATCACATTGCATTATCCTAAAAGGTTACTTAAAATCTTGTAGAATCGAAAGAGGGTTATATTGATCATAATATACTATTTGTTTAAATTAAATTATTATAATGATTTTTCAATATAAATAAAAATTTTGATTTTAAAAATAAAAGTTATTCAGATAATTCGTAATAAATATAGAGTTATCACTATATTTTTATTTTTAAAATATTAAATTAATAATTTAATAGAAAATAAATTTAAAAATACATTATCACAAAATATCTATTTTTAGATTGTGTTTTACTTAACATCTTTGGTATTTGATTTCCAAAAAAAAAATATATATATATTTCTTTAAAACAGTAGAAGCTCGACTTAATATAATATATATCAAATAAGATAGGCCAAAACATCTCATCCTACTCGCTATATTAAAAATAGAGATTTAAAATAGATAAATTTTTATTGAAAAAAATAAATAGTTCTAGATTTGGATAAAAGTGTTAAATATAATAAATAACTAGTAATTAAAAAATATATAAATTTATTATAAATATTTTATAATTTGAATTATAATATATATTTATTATTTTAAATTAATATTAGGATGATAGGTGAATAATTTATTAGATTAAAAAATAAAAATTTGAAAAACTAGACCTCAACGCCACCAACTAGCGCCACGAGGAGGGTCAGAGAACTAAGTCTGTTAACATTTTAGCCTCAAAAGTTTTTACCCTCTGTTCAATATTCTTGCAGGGCATTGCATATTCTTTCACCTTCACATATAGATCGAATACATGCTCAATATTCATAAACAACAAATATCATGTAAAGAATTTTAGCAGACAGCGTATAGGATACAAATTCCAATTATGTGAGTGTATCTCAATACTTTCATGCATCTATACAACAGACTAAAAGATTTAGGATAATACATTGATGCATTCTTATAGGTTCTATGAAGAATTATTGCTAAGGATTTGTTGATTTCACGCTCACACTTTTAACTACAGGTTGCTCTAGAAAGTATAGAGTGCAAACTCTGATGAAACTAACCTCAAAAATAGTTGAAGCAAGATGGAAAACTTCAAGAATCAGCTTGAACTTAAGCAAAACAGGTCTAAAATAGTCTGAACAGGTATAGAAAAAACGGTTTGATCAAACCTCAAGAAAATAAGTAAAAATAAAGCTGGTTAAGTCAATGCTCCCTCACTACCGGGGACATGTGAGAACCATGCCAATCTCTAATCACCTATGAGGGTTGGTCTTCTAGAGACAGCTCATTTGGTGACAGGGATTCAGGATTGTTTGTCGTTCCTGTCTGTGGTGGAGGATATCTGCAGGGCAATTCTGGTCCTCTATTTGACGGTGAGTGAACCATTTTTTTTCAACTGAATCAATTGCTGAAATTAGCCAGATAACCAGGTGAAGCTCTCTAAACCTGATGTTGGGGGTGGCGTAAACCACCTTTTGATGGTGGCAAATTATGGGTGTGTCGCTTTATCTTCTTTCTGTTAAGGTTTTCTTTATTAAGAAGAAATTTTTTTGGGAAAGATTCTTTTTTTGTTGGACTTCTTGGTGTGAAAAACTGATTTTTTCTTCTCATGTTGTAGATTTTGGCAAAAAGACAAGGACAATAATTAGGTGAGAAACTAACTTATGCAAGACAAGTATTGGTGTTACTAACTTGTTCTAAGACAAATGTAGAAATAACAAAAAATTAGATGAAAAACAGAAGAACAAAAGTAGACCAAAAGAAACTGGACAGAACAATAATAAAAACGAACAAACGCGGGGATAAAGCCCTAACAAAAAAATTCTTAATTCATCATTATCTATGTTATTTATTAATGACAAATACCCTTTATACAGGCATTAGTTACACCCAATAAATAAAATATCAGTGTAAAAAAATCTAAAAATCTATCTAAATAGTTAAGTTTCTTATAACTTAAAGCTACTTGTGCAAGCTAAATAAATTAAAGTTACTCAATCATAATAACTAGAAAAAATTTCTTTAATAGAAAATGAATTCCAATATCAAGATCTTCTTGTGCATCAATAGTTAATGGCCCTAACTCCACATGATACAAGGAACTTGTATATGCCAAAATTCTCAGGGTTTGAGATGGAAGCTAGACAGAGATAAAAAAGAGAAGAGATTAGAAGACAAGAGTAAAGAGCACTGTTATTAATCGAACTCCTTCACCATCCTCCGCAATTAATAGCTTTATAGAACTTTATTCTTTACTCATAGATAACAACCAAGTAAAAACTAAAAACTAAAGAACATATATACTTAGCAACCTGACTACCTCAACAACCTCCTTTAAGTTCCTGGTAAAATAATTATCCGCATATCGTCACAAGGGACATAATGAGACTCAATTTTCTAAAAATGGTACAATGATAGATGCTTATGATAATTTGTTTGTAACTCCTGCTCCATACAGAATTTTAAGAGACATAAACGTCAAAGGGTTGTATAAATTATATACTTGGTATTTTCAAATCTTTGGATGGAGATTCGCGTATAATTATTTAAAGTCACTAGAAAGAATTTCAAGTGGAGTTATTATGTAACATAGTCATGAATTCAAGTGGAGATGTTCTGATACCACTTGTAGGGAGGTACTTGAATGAATTTATGAGAAGCGAAATGTAAGTAAAAATTCAGTTAAATAAATATGATAAAATCTGTCCCAAAATGCTCAATCACAATCACACAAAGATACCAAAATTTTTAACGTAAAAAACTCCTTCAATGCGAATGATAAAAACCACATAATCTCTTTTGATTCGAGTAAAAAGAGCTCCACTGTAAAAATTAGTATTTACAGCAATAATAAGTAACTACTATAATTCTCGAACAAATACTTAATAACAAATCAACCAAACAAAAAGAGATAAACAAGAGAATGGAGAAATATCACCGAAACAACTACTATTCATGCAAAACAGATGCGTTCTAATTGTTGAAATCCAATTTTCACCATTCAAATTAAAGAATAACTTATCCTGAACATGCTCACCAAATTTCAGCCTCATCAGATCGCAAATGATCGTCCGATCGTTGGAGAAAGTCAAACTGATTGGTGCAGGAAAGAAAAACATGAACAGTAACTTCGAACTGAAAGTACTGAAAATTCAACCGTTCAAAATCGATTTCCATCGTTCAGAATGAAGAACAACGAGTTTTCTAAATACCCACCATTCTCATTTTTTTTTATTCTCTATTTTTTTGTGACTGAAAACTTATTTTTATACTATTCCTTAGAATTAAAATGGTATACCAAAAAAAAAAAACCCTCATAACCCTAATGGACCAAAAATAAGTGAGTTGAAAAAAAGATGAGTTTTTTCACATAAGAATGAATCCAAAACCCAACATTATATATTTGGTATCTTCGAATCTTTGGATGGAGATGCATGCATAATTATCTAAAGTCATTAGAAAGAATTTCAAGTGAAGTCATTATGCAACATAGTCATGAATTCAGACCTCAACTTTGACCATGGAATTTTAAATGTACTTTCTCAATCTGTTTGAAATCGTCCAGCATGTCAATTTCTATTGATTTAGAATTAATTTATATCTTATATAGTGAAGATAAGTTTAAATTTTTAAATGAATTTTACATTCCAAACATAGCTTTAAACCTAATATGAGAGTTAATTAGAGGGCATGAACATACTTTCGTACTCAGTTCATAATGGTTTAATCAATGTAATGGCCTTCTGGCTGGAAAGGAAGAAGAAGAAGAGAAAGCCGAGGAAGAGGGGGTTGACTGAATGACTTCTGTGTGAGGTAAGAACAGAGATAAGAGAACAGACAAACAGAGGCTGTTTGGAGTTAACGCTTCTCTCATTCAGCCCGTAACAGAAGAAGAAAAAAGGGTTGAGAAGCTCTAAATCACAAGCAGAAGTCTGGGTTATCTTTATTCTTTAAAAGTTTCACTTCTATATTTCTCTTTTCTTTCTCCACGCGTTTTTTCTTTTTTTTTTTTTTTTGGTGTTATGATGATTTGGCTTGGGCCTTGAGGAAACATCACCAACCAGCAAGAATTTGGAGGTTAGTGCTATTATATTATTTGTATTTTGATGTAGTTGATGTTCTTTTCCCCAGCTTACTGGTGTTTTCTCTACTCTTTATTTTATAGATTTATGTATAGATGGATAGCACAATCACGCATACAGTTAGAACACAATCTATTGCAAGAAAATTAGGTCTTGAATAATTAGTTTACACCATTAGAACCAGTGTCTAACACCTCCTCATCCTAGTTATTCTTGAATCTCTACTTTTAACTAATGTCTTATTACTGCACCTGATCTCATATTCAGTAGAATAAATTAGGACTCTATCTTTTGCAATAATTTCATTGGCTGAATAGTTTATTTTTAGTCAATCATGATATTCCTTAGATTTCAAGTGTATAAGGTCCACCTGGAGAGATTTAAAGAAATAATAACTTAACTAAATTATGGTTGTCCCAGGACCTTTTCAAATCATAAAATAGAAGATGACAATAGTTAAGAATCATTAGCATCGAGTAATTATTAATTTTGAACCTCTTCTCAGAAAAGTTTATTAAGATAAGCCTATGCAACAAAGCACACAAAATATATACACTTGTCTGGCAGTTTCTTTCTTTTCTCTGCCAAGTTCTATTCATAAATAATGAGGGGAGAGTAATAAATGTATGAGTGGTGCTTACACATATACTATTGAACTTACAATTCTCTTAACCTTAAGCCACAACTTTCTAATAGTCCCTACAGTAAATCTGTGATTCAGGAGTAATGGGCCAATCTGGAGCACATTATCTGGATTGTGTTCCAGCTGGCACATGAAAGAATTTGATATACAGAGATATTTTAGTATAACTTTTCATGTAAAAATAGCAATGAATAAGCTACAGCCTTACAGAATAAATCATCATGGCCACAGGAGTTTCATCCAGCTAACTCGCTTATTGGTGGACGGTCCATCACATTTGCAGCTAATGTTGCATTATGTTGCAGTTGTGGATCAATATCAGGCAGTTTAGGAATTTGAGCCAATAGATCAATTGTACGCCGTAAGAGGCGAGCGAGATCGCCCTCATCCATTGCACAGTCCATCATCATCTCTCTCCAATTCAGTCCAGAAGCCCAGGCTTCAACCATACCAGAAAATTGGCTATCCAAACAACAAGGTATCTCTACCCTGTGTTTTTCTTGAAGTAGCAGAAGGGAGCTTCTTTGTTCTTCCAAGAAATGAATAACATTAATTACGGTAGTCGAAGGTTCATATATGTAATTGTTATCCTTCCAAGCACGAACCTTTATGCCTTCAGAAACTAAACTTGCACAGACAGCAGCAAGTTGTGCAGGCTTTAACTCTAGCAAGACTTTATTTCGAAGAACCATTGCCAGCCAGAGTTCATTTTCGCCACGAATTGCAGCAGCAGTTTCACCAAGAGGGAATATTAACTGTGTGTTAATGTCCAACGCTCTACTTTCATGTATAACATTGCTGATTTGCAAAAACTCCTTCCAACCTGATGGCTCAATTTGCTCTAGTCGACTTATTAGACGACTTGATCTAGTCTTCAACCGTCTTATTTTTTCTTCTGTTAACTTTCTCACGTCTATGATCTTCTTATATTCCTTAAAGCCTTCTGTACGGGCTATCTTTTTCTTCAAACGTGCAACTTTAGTCCGTTGTTCCTTGTAACGTTCTATAGCATCACTATATTCTTGTGATATATGTGAGACTTCATCATTTTCAGAAAGACTGCTTAAAACAGGGACATTTAAACTCCAGGACCATGTTTCCAGAGATCCTTCCATACACCATAAACCCCCAAATTCAGAGCCAGCAAGCTTGTCCCACTGCATTCCCTCCTTGTCAAGAAGTATGCTCATAGCTTCCCGAGGTAAAGCATCACCATCTGCTAAAGCAACATTAGGAAACCCACTCCTATAAACAGTTTTAATCCACTTTTCTGTAAACAAATACCAACAGTTATCTGAACCGAGAGCAACGTAATAAGATGGCTCAATAGTTTGAGTTTCATCAGCCATTAACTTAGCCTCAGCTACGTTTAGTGCAAAAAAATCATCGTCAGAAAGCATTTTCTTCAGCTTTGAACCATTGAGTGAGTCAACATTTGCCAAATAAACAGCAGCTACTATGTTTTCAACTCCTTCAGAATCTTTATAACGTAGGCATAAAAAAGGCAAGTGTCCATCTTCCATCTTCTTTAACAACGGTTTCAGTGCAACAAGTCTCTTGAATTCCATCCTTCTTCGCAATTCTGTTCGAAGGCGTTTTTCTGCCTTTAGTTCTTCCTGCAGATCTGCAATCTCCCTATATGCTGCTGCTGATAGAAGTTTCCTGCTCTTTCTATCTATAGCTTCATCAGTAATCTCTGAAGTTAGCATTTCAATATTATCCTCTATTTTAGCAAGCTCCTCTTTTGCAGCAAGCATGACATTGCTTCCCACATAGTTCCCAAAACTTTGCTCAACTAACTTCCTAGCTTCTTCCAAAGTTCGCCCTGCTTGTAAAGCTACACTTTCACCTGGTTCGCTTGATCTACGAGTAACTTTTGCACCTGCTAGAAGATTCAGCACCATTCCGTAGGAAGCAGTGAACTGTGATACAAGAGGTTGGACTCCAGCAAATAGAAGTTTGCAGCACTCCTCTGCACCTTCATAAGGAGTCTGGACCAGTACAACATGGCCTCTTTTATCAATGCCCCTGCGTCCGGCACGCCCTGCCATTTGAAGCAGTTCATTTGGGCTTAACTGGATGCGTTCGCTACCAGCCTTTTTAATAAGAGATGAAATAACAGCTGTCCTAGCAGGCATATTGATTCCAGCAGCAAGTGTTTCCGTTGCAAAGACAACCTTAATGAGTCCCCGTTGGAACAACTCTTCAATAAATGATTTCCACAAGGGCAAACAGCCAGCATGGTGTGCAGCAACCCCTTCCAAAAGCCCTTTCTCAGCTATTTCTCTGACAGCATCAGGATACTGTATACGGAACCTCTTTAGGGCCAATTCGACCTCACTCTTCTCACAGTCATCTAACAGATCACAGTTTTCAACATACTGCACAGCTGCATCACATCCTCTCCTGTTAAAAATAAACCAAATTGCAGGCAGCATATCCCGTGTCTTAAGGTGCCATAATGTGTCAATAACTTGAGGAACCTGAAAAATATAATTTATGGTAGGTAACTAAATAATTTTAATTCAAAAGGAATTTTTACGAATAGACATTAAAACCAAAAATAAGTGGTCTTTATTCACAAGAAAAAGTAGTTAACACCTGCGAGCGACGAATTCTGTTTATGTCATTCTTGGAAAGAGACTGTCCAGGAATATTAATCAAACTATTGTAGCTCATATCTCCTCGACGTTTTCTTGAAGTCCTCCTTTTAGACCCATTAAGCTCATAAGAACTAACTTCTGAAGCAGAAAGTTGAAGATAATTGAGAGACAGCTTCCTGCTCCAATTAAAATGTCCATCAATGTATTTTACTAGTCACAGACACAGACAAGCAAACACGGACAATAAACATCAAAGTATTGCCCAAAGCAAGATGGTATTGTAACACGGACAATAAACATCAAAGTATTGCCCAAAGCAAGATGGTATTGTATCATAACCTTGCAATTGTCTCTAGACTTGACCAAAATAAGCAGTGAAAAAATGTTGCTATGAAGAAATACTATCAATCATTGACAAAAGTACTCTTTTTTCTTTAAGTATGTCAAAGAAGAAAGAAGCAAACCACCTTTCATAGACATGTACGATGAGGACAACAGAATAGTCTGTCCAAAAGTTGCTTGAATTTATGGTTTGTAGCCTCCAAAGAGAGGTTTCTAAACAATGAGGACATACTGTGCTATAATATTTTTGCATTTATTTCTAAATAAACAATAAGCTAAATTGAATAAGTATGATAAATGAGTCATTACCTATTCATGCGTGTTCCTTTCTCATCAAGGAGAGGTAACAAATAAGTCTTTGTTGAGAAGTGCCACGTCAACGGAACCGGACGCCTTGATGATGTCACCAACTCAGTTTTACCATGAATCTACAAATGGATAAATAAAACTTCAAACATGCATAATTATGAATTATTAAGATGTTTCATAGTTAAAATCAATTTTTCTAACAGAGAGATTGTAAAGAAAGCAATATCCTTTTGCCCCCTTAAAATGATAGAGCATAATGGTTAGGTGATTTCCACTAATTTCTCTGAGTGGTTCCTTTGGCCAGCAGTTTCACTTGTGTTGAGAAAGCAAGCAATAACTTCTAATCAGCTGTCTATTTTGGTTTTTTCTAGAGAAGACTTCAAATAGTAGTATGAAGTCTAGGTTTGTCTTATTAATCCCGGGCCCCAAATTATTACCTGCCATTTGCATGGTAGGAATTATGTCAAATCAGCTAAATCAATCAAGATGCACTTCCAACTTACTGGAAAGAGTAAACAGTGTCATCGTGTTCTTCCCCGACGGATAATAAGAAAGCTTATGCCTCGTGGCAGGAGGGTGAACACCTATTCAATTCCATGAAATCTAATGTTGCTAAATATGCACATCCACCTTGTTTCATGGGAGAATATATATATACACACACACATGCAAACACAAAACTACTTCAAGCTTTTGTATGCCAGCAATATTACCCGTAAGATTAGTCCGTCAAATTGTTTAACAAAACCAGGAAAGAAAATTAACTACTAAGTACCTTGTTGGATTATAGTGGGTCTTTGTGAAAGTAAATATGGTTCAACCCATTACAGCATATGTAAAGGCTACGAGGAAGCTCACAAAGCACTTACTAACTATGTGCTCTTTTGGCATAATTGAAAATACAATTTGGTCTTGTGTGCTTACAGATTTAGAAAGTGTTGACTCACTCCTTTTGCTTCCATGCGCAAGTTGCGGTCTTCCTCTAAGGTTACATCTTCCTAAGATACTACTAGTAGCAACTGTGGGCTTGTATTTCAGGTGAATAGTGGAGGTAGAGGGGAAGGCTATGGTGCTAAAAATGGTCGAGGTGGCCGTGGTAGAGATGCGAGGCAAAAGTTGCCTCCATTTACCATAAATAGCCATACACCATCAGTATTGGAGGTTGATTGGTAAGACCATCCCGGAAGCTAGCTTTGATGCTTCCAAAGGAAGAGAACTCTAAATTTCTTCAATATCAGACATCTAGAAAAGATTCCAACCCTATTGTGTCTCTTGCCCTTGGTAATCCTACCCCTTTCCTCTCAACTATCTCTACACCCTGGGTGATATACATTAATACCAAAAATAATATATCAAATATGAATGTGCTTCCATTGGCTTTTTTCTTTTTGCAGTTAAATGTGCTTAAAAGATATTTTGGCTACAAAAGAAGCCAACATGTTTTCATCAGGATGCAAAACGTATTAAAAGCTCAAGAGCTTTTAAACCCGGAAAAAAGAAAAGAAAAATCCAAAAACCAGCTTTTCTTTTCTGGAGCTTTTAGCACATAGCTTTAAGCCGATTTGATCAGATTTTCTTATCAATATTAGCCTTCCTCAAAATAGTGAATTCTATAACATAATCTCTTTAGTCCTTGACCAAAAAAAAACTTCAACTTAAAAGCTCAAAGTTTACCAAACATTACAGCTTTTTAAGTCTTAAAAACTAGAAAGATAAGTCAAATAATCTAAATACTTTTCCAGTTTAAAGTACTATAAACTTAAAGCCCATTACTCAAATTATATAAGTTTAAAACATAAGAAAAGAATAAGCCAATCCAAACAGCCTTAATTTATTACCGCATCCATAA